AGTTTGACTATTTTTGAACAGTAACGACCCTATGTCAAGACCGATGGATTCGAACCACGCACCTCCGACACAGGTTTCAGCCAGCACCCAAAATTATATCATCCACTGTCTGTGTATCACAATAACTTTGGCCGTTGCGTATATTTGGCTATGCGTGTTTTATTATATATTGTCCAAAATGATTATTGGTTAATCTGAATTCATATATGTACGTGCATTATGTTCTGGTGGGTGATCTTGGCATGGGTGTTGCATGCTAGTGTGTGGAATCATACTAAATCCAATTATGAATAATGAAGAAAACGGTTTAAAAGTCTGAAGAAAACGAATTTTCATAAAACTGTCAATTCATCTGTCAATTACTGTTATTTACTTACCTTAAGTGATTAAAAGCCAGTCCCTTGTAGAAATGTCCCCATTTCAAGCGTAAATGTTGTAGCAACGATGGTTACCTTCGATACGGAAGTACGCTATTGCGGCTGCGCAGAATTTCCGGACGCGAGGAATTACCGGACTCGCTTGTAGACAAATGTTCCACCCAACCTTGACCCATCTGGTGATCAACACGCAAACAACGTTTTTCATGTGTTGTCGTGCAATTAAAGGTACACGTCGTGGTATTGTGTCCTGGCAATATCTCTGCCTCTGGTGTTTCCAAGTTGAAACACTGAGTGATCCCGAAATCTGCGCGTAAAAGAATTACATGAGAGTGAGTGAGTGAGTTTTGTTTTACGCCGCTTTTAGCAACATTCCAGCAATATCACGGCGGAGGACACCAGAAGTAGGCTTCACGCATTGAACCCGTGTGGGGAGTCGAGCCCGGTCTTCGGCGTGACGAGCGGATGCTTTCACCAATACGCTACACACACACACACACACACACACACACACACACACACACACACACACACACACACACACACACACACACACACACACACACACACACACACACACACACACACACACACACACACACACACACACACACACACACACACACACACACACACACAAAAAAAAACTAATTAATAATTAGGGTTAGTGAGTAGGTTTGAGCGGTGTCTTATCTTTAGATGGGCTAGGATACTTGGTGACATCACTATTGTACGGTTAAAAAAGTGAATTATTCAGGGTAAAAGAAAATAAGAAATATAAGGACCCGTGAACATTCGGGTTAGAACTGATCTTCAGTAACCCATGCTTGTCGTAAAAGGCGAATAACGGGATCGGGTGGTCAGGCTCGCTGACTTGGTTGACACATGTCATCGGTTCCCAATTGCGCAGATCGATGCTCATGCTGTTGGTCACTAGATTGTCTGGTTCAGACTCGATTATTTACAGACCGCCGCCATATAGCTGGAATATTCTCACTCACTAACGGTAAGAAAAGTAAAATATTCACTTACACGGTAGTTGGATTGAGGATTGATTTCAAATCCAGTGACTTGTTATTTAAAGAGAAATTATGCCGTGTTTACGATTTCATGTTAACTGGATTTTAAAAACATTACATAGTCTGCCAGTGTACAGTCGATACATTTAAATGCGTATTACAGCTACACGGAGGTCTCTAAAGAAATTTGGGTCCAAATACCAAGTGATGGATATTATGAGCATCGGTCCACGCAATGCGAGATTCGATGACACGCAATAAAGTCACCGAGGTTGACGCTATCTATGTTTGTTTATTTATTAGTTATTTAACGCCGCACTCGTTAATATTCTAGCTATATGGCGGCGTTATGTAAATAATCGAGTCTGGACCAGACAATCCAGTGATTAACAGCATGAGCGTCAGTCTACACAATTGGGATACGATGACACGTGTCAACCAAGTCAGCAAGTCTGACGCTACGTATGGAAGCACCTGGAACGGCTCTGTATATTTTTATAGTGACGTGTCATGTTCTTCCTGGTTGTGGGATTGGCGATAAGATAACAATGTCTACCTTGTCTCGTAATTTCACTATTGGGAGTGATATAAACACAAAGAATTGAATAAAAATGATCGAAGTAATCGTCGACCGTGCTAGAGTCGTTGGTTCGAATTCCAGTTTATGCTTCAATGTCTCTGTGAGTGGGTGAGTCAGTATGGGTTTACACCGCTTTTAGCAATATTCCAGCAATGCTTTGACGACGTGACAACGTGACGAAAGGGCTCTCTGTGTGTGATAAACGTCGCTTTTGGGGCAGTGAGGTAGCCTAGTGTTTTAAGCGTTTGCTCGTCACGCCGAAGACCGGGTTCGATTCCCCACATGGGTACAATGTGTAAATTGATAGTGTTTGTGACGCCAGTTCTGAAAGGCAGCATTATGATATTTAACGGTAATCATCTGAGGATTATCCTACTTATGATATCCTCCACAAAAACATTTAGTTTTGCGTGTTCGCTCGTCACGCCGAAGACCCGGGTTTGATTCCCCACATGGGCACAATGTGTGAAGCCCATTTCTGGTGTCCCCCGCCATGATATTGCTGGAATATTGCTAAAAGCTGTGTAAAACCACACTCACTCACTCACACACTCACTCACTATTGTATGTACATGTTTTTTCGACGACTGCTTCAAGAAACAGCATTATGGAAACACGACAATTATGTTTTATGAAAACAAATTACTTTGAAAAAATATTACTCAATTTCAATTTGGTAGGTATAACTCAATTTCAATTTGGTTGGTTGCTGGTCTTAAATATTTGCCACTTTAAATGCAACACTAGAGCAATGGTAGCTGCTGGCAAAACTAGAAATATATCAACGTAATCAATCTATCATTGACAAGAAGACTCAAACACGTGGATTTGACCACTGGGTACCGTCATTGTTGTAAAATTAATATCAAAATTATAATTTCTTGGAATTTGAAAGGCACAAAACGAATTCAAAATTTGTAATCTAGAAAAGTAGTAGTTGTCAGTGAATTTAGTCACGTTGTATAATTGTATCTGGACCGGACAATCCAGTGATTAATATCATGAGCATCGATCTGTAATTGGAATACGAATCGTATCCTGTTAGTCGCGTCTTAAGTTAGGCATGGGTTGCTAAATAGAGAATCTCACCATTTTTAGTCCAGATCTTCACGAGTAAGTTGATATGTAATCAACGAGATTTGAAGAAATGATTCAAATAGTTGTTGAGTTCAGCCGTCGGGTGAATATTCACAAAGAAACCGAGGTAAGTCAATTAACTTCTTGCTTCATAAAACTGTAACTCTACTGTAAGTCGGACGGCGTCAAGTAATATCAATTTAGTGGGCACATTGCCCTTTTCAGACATTTAACGCCCTGTATAATGTAATGGCAACTTATAAAGCGCCTGTTTCCACGAACGTGTGCATGCTAAAGGCGCTAACACATTATTACCCCGGATATCCCAAGTTGCCAGTGAGGTGCTAGAAGGTAAACAGTCACATGACGTATCCCACCGGGTACCCATTTACAGCTGGGTGAACAGAGGCAAATCATGAACAAGCTCACTTGCCTAAGGTGAGACCACATGTGTCAGGTGTGCTTCGTTGTGGGGCAGGACTGAAGTCCTAGAAACTCTGGGGAGTCAAGCTGCCAAATACGGTCACCCATCCAAAGACGTTTTCTTAACTTCAGCTGAATTGATATGGACTCGATGCACAGGACCAAACACCACCATATGATTTTGGATGGAACACACAAGAAAGAATATACAAAAAAAAGTTGAAAAATGATGAAACCAGATGCAGAACTTCCCAGGTGTGTCTGCCTCTCTTTATCTTATCGACGTTTAACTTATTTTTCACTCATACCAAATAGTACCCGAACACAAAAGGTTATCATCCTTGAAATTAACATCTGCAGTTGTTGACAAGGGACTACGAGGGGATGTTTCTTTTAGCTCACCTGGCCAATATCACCATACAATTACATCTAAATTTGGGGGGGCGTGGGGTAGCCTAGTAATTGAAGCGTTCACTCGTGACGCCGGAAGCCCGTGTTCGATTCCCCACATGGGTACAGTATGTGAAGCCCATTTCTGGTGTCCCCCGCCGTGATATTGCTGGAATATTGCTAAAAGCGGCGTAAAACCAAACTCACGCAATCACTCTAAATTCAACCCGTGAAGATCCGGGTTAGAATTGATCTTCAGCAACCTATGCGTGTCGTAAGAGGCGACTAACGGCTTAAGGTGGTTAGTAGTGGTGTTCCGATTAATTGAAATAATCGAAGATTGATCGCGGTGACCAAACGACCAAGCAATCGATCACATTTTGTCATAATCGAACATAAACGATTTTGGAGCTACTGTTTTAGTCCTTAAAAATACTTGACAATGGAACATATCGGGGCCTGAAAACGTGTTTAATTCTTAGAAAACTCACTTCACTAATTGAAAAGTCATGACTGAATAATTCTCTAAGACTCCAGGAAGTTTATGTTCATGATATATTAGTCATCACTTCAAAGTAGCAAGTTGCAACATGTTATACATATCTGTAATAACAACCTGGATAGGAAAATCTGAAATATCACGCTAACCATTTTTTTTCGATGATTGTTCGTTGGTAATGAAGCAATCACCAATTGTGAGATTTCAACCAATTCCCAACACAAGTGGTTAGGCTCGATGACTTGGTTGACACATGTCAGCTGCGTAGATCGATGCTCATGCTGTTGATGACTGGAATATCTAGTTCAGACTCGATTATGTACAGACCGATGTCGTATAGCTGGAATGTTGCAGATTAATACTCACATCGGCAATTCGAACCCGACGAGCGAACCACAATTATACCCCACTACCCCTCATGAAAAAATATACCCTTATTACAGACAATGATAAGGTGAGCTACAAGGTCGTCACGCACGACACGTGATGTCACCGCTGCAGCATCTACAGCATAAATCGTGACGCGCTTGATACCCCACTACCCCTCATAAAAAAATATACCCTTATTACAGACAATGATAAGGTGAGCTACAAGTTCGTCACGCACGTCACGTGATGTCACCGCTTCAGCATAAATAGGGACGCGCTTGCAGGTTGTCTTCACAGTTCTTCGGTTATCAGACGAAGCACATCCTCTACTTTGAAACAATGAACGGGGCCTGCCTTCTGCTTCTCCTCCTGCCTTCCGCCGCCTTGGCCTTGAACCTGGTTCCAAGTAAGTAACATGTCAGTTAGCACAGTGGTTGGTGTTGCTGCACGCCAGCCTGGAAACCCACCTTCGACTCCCTAAATGGGCACACCCCTAGAGAGCTTGGGTATACATGTATTAAAAAGTATCTCGGCATGGACTGCTGAGACCAATTCTAACCCGGATCATCACGGGTGTCAGATATTTCACGGCAGGTCAGCTCTGTTTGGATGGAAATAGTAAAGTTAAGGGATTCGAACCCAGGATCAAATTAAAAACTACGGAATCATTAATTCTGCTAAATATCCAGCAGTCATCGGGTACGAATATATTTTGATGTAAAACTGTTCCCTCTCAATTCAACTCAGATACGCTGCATTAACAGGGGCGTATCTACCATTATACAAAAAAGCCCGGGCTTACACATGATTGTTGCTAAAAAGGTAGGACAAGCCCTCAATACTATTTTAATAGAAAGCTTTGCAACCTATCGGGCTTATACGAAATAATTGGCTTGCTATGCGCCTGATTAAGGTCGTTTCCACAGTTCAGGAATTCTTGCAATGTGTCCAATCAAGTTGAATGACAACATGGGTTTTAAGGAACACTGGAGTTCGGCTGTGATATTGCTGGAATATTGCAACCACAGGACCAAAAGCCGGATAGTACACCACTGAAATAAACGTAAATACAGTAGGAAATACATGAGTATACCGGATTTACGTGTGTTTCCAGATCTTTCCTAACTTCGGGCATATATTTCATACAATGCTACACCTTTGAAACATACGCTCATCGTATATTTCCGTATGCTCAAGCACCTCTTATAGGCAAGCTATGACTGGATTTTCAGGTATTTCCAAGCATAAATTCAAAATACCAGATCATAGAGAATTTCTATTGCATTTCTTTGAATCGCAATGGATGCTGAATTTTCGATTTCGTTCCAAGGTCTGGAAACATGGACATTTCCTTGGGTGGGAAAACAATTTAAATTTTGAAATGTTTAAATGTTTACACGGCCTTAGATAGTTATGCCTGATATCAAGGGATTTGAGATGCAATTGTTTTGTATATGTTAGCATTGTTTACTTTAGGATCATCCACGGCATCCTCAGTGTGCAGTTCTTGCCACATAGAAACTTGTTGTTGATTCTTCATCCCATTCTGGACCGCCCCCGTGGTGTAGTGGTCAGAGCGTCCGCCCGGAGAGCGGAAGGTCGCGGGTTCGATCCCCGGCCATGTCAAACCAAAAAGACGTTAAAATATTGTACTTGTTGGTCCCTGCCTGGCGCTCGGCATTAATGGGTACAACATCGAGTGGTCGGCTCGGAGTCAGTACAATGTGTCTGAGTGGGGTATTCATGCTTCACTGCGGCATGGTATCTCAGCACTATAAGTCTGGGCTAGCATAAGCAGCTACACATGCACACGCATGCACGTCGCCATATGAGGGAATTTTCTTAAGTGTGACGTTAAACAACATTTCACCTCACCTCATCCCATTCTGGACGGAAATATTCTTGACCACTCTCGTTTGTGCCTGACATGTTAACTACTGGACAACGCCCTCTCAGCTTGTACGTTCCTGATATGGATGTCAGAAAGGTGAAAGTGAACTCTCTGACACACCGTGACGTCATGTCTAGACGTAAAAGTGCTTATATTGAAGCAACAGTTGTCTGTAAATTCAACATGAAATAACCTGAAATACACACCCGTTTACCTTTACTATTCAGAAATACTCACCATGCAAATTTGCAATGGCAAATTTTCTGAAAGTCTGGCAATAAGCAGTATTATGTAAGCGAACACGTCTTATTACATTACATATACTCCATGGGCACGGTCCAGTTGTCCCTGCATAGTTACATCAACTGGGCACGTCAGAAATCCATGATAGTGTTCGCCCCAATTACGTTTCTAGCTGTTTGTGGTCGTGGCTTTAACCAAAGTGCCTTGTTGAGTTTAGTTAGACCGTTTTCAGCAATATTCCAGTCATATCATGGCAGGGGACAGTGGAGGTGTGGGGCAATCGAACCCGAGACCAACTGACAAAGTTGGGGTTGGGTGGTGGCGTAGACTGTCTTTAAGCGTTCGCTTAGATTTGACCAAAGATCCCCCATATGTTCCAGCGCGTGAAGCCCATTTCTTCTGACCCCGTAGTGATTTTGCTGGAGTATTGCTGAAAAAAAACGTGTAAAACCTCACTTACCGAAAGCAGGGTTCAACTAACCTCACTCACTCATCATCTAATTTTTTTCAACACAGGAGCATCACATGGAGCCGTAGCCTTCCACGCCAATGCCCAGGACAAGACTGTCCCTCTGTATACAGGAAGACCTATCCCCTTCGACCACACCCTTGTCAACGCAGGCTCTGCTTACAACACTCAGACTGGAAAGTTCACGGCTCCTGTGGCTGGACTCTACCTGTTCTGGACCCAGATAGAGTCAACTAAACCCGGCGTGGCCATCACCATGTTTATCTTCCAGTCTGGGAAGCCGATCAGCGCGGGGTACATGGAGACCAACAGCGACCTTGCTGATGACACCGGCTCCGCAATGGTGGCTACTCATCTGACGAAGGGAGAAGAGGTCTGGGTCGAGATTGAGAAGGATTTCGCAATGACCGTGTTTCCGTCCTCCTATTTCGGTGGGGTGTTGCTGTATGCTGACGATGGTACTGGTCCCATTGTCGGTTGATATGAATAAACGGAAAGAAAAGCTTTCTGAGTTTTAAAACAAATCTATAGTGTCTGTTTTATCTACAATAATAAATCTGTCTGTAAATAAAAGGGACGCTGGAGATCACCATCATCATCATCGTCGACGGCATCATCATCATCATCATCATCAATTCATCAATTCATCATCATCATCATCATCATCATCCTAATTACCACAAATTATCACCATCGTAATCTTCATCCCCATTAACACAATCATTTTCATCATCGTCGTTATTATTAAATTCATCTTGTATTTAGAAATTCCATCTGGAAATATAAATTTAATGTTGTATTATAAAATTCAACTTGTATTAGGACATTGAAGCTCGGTACAGTGAACATTAATTTCATTTGGGACATATTTCCCCTAATCACTCGTACCTCGTGGGTTATTCACTAAATCTTGTATTAAAAATTCCATCGTGTATTATTTAATTCAACTTGCATTATAATATTTAACTTGCATTATAGAATTCAAATTGTATTATTAAATGCATCTTGTGTTATAAAATAGTTAACTTCTAGTATAAAATTCATCTTGTATCATAAAATTCAGCTTGTATTAAAAAATTCAAAGATTATTGAAATACGGACTGCCAAACCACGACAGGTGCCCTAACTAAATCACTTTGATGGAACATGGCTATCACGCTATAACTGAGTGAGTGAGTGAGTGAGAATGGTTTTACGCCGCTGTTAGCAATATTCAAGCCATATCACTGCGGGGGACACCAGAAATGGGCTTCACATATTGTGCCCATGTGGGGATTCGAACCCGGGTCTTCGGCGTGACGGGCGGACGCTTTAACCACCAGGCTACCCCACCGCCTATTACTGAGTGACAACTGGTGTGAAGACCGGGTTCGAATCCCCACATGGGAACAATGTGTGAAGCCCATTTCTGGTGTCCCCCGCCGTGATATGGCTGGAATATTGCTAAAAGCGGCATAAACTCAAACTCACTCACTCATAGAAGTGCATCACAAATGAAAATGTGTCATTAACTGCTAATGTGTTACTGAAGACGTGTTATGGGTTTCACTCGTTTTATTACTATTTGCTATTGTATGAAAGGGCAACATAAAAGAGCAAATATCCAATTTACTATGACATTAGTCACTGAAATATTGTCATTAAACCAGAATTGTTGATCACTGAAAGCGTCTTAAAGGTTCACAGTTATATAACTATCAGCTAATTGTATTAAAAGGCGACAACATGCAAGAGCAAAAAACCTAATTACCCTTCTTTGAGTGGCAAATATAGACGTTTGAGAGTCAAATAATGACAAATTATAAACTTTATGGAAGAGTAACTTCTATTTTCAGGTGATGCGACGTTTCCATACAGATTCTTGTATCGTTGTCAAGGAAGATGTATCGAAACGTCGCATCACCTGAATATAGAAGTTGTTCAACCATAAGGATTGTCCTTGTCCAATTTACACTAAGATTAGTCACTGATAAATAGTCCGGAAAAATACAAAGTGAATAGCTAAGCAACCTGTTCGTCGGTAATAAGCAGACAGTGACAAAAACAACACTATGAAAAACTATTGACCAGCTACACATACACAGCTCAAATACTCCCCAAGAAAATCTGTTAGTCACCTCTTACGACATGCATGGGGGCTGAAGTCCAATTCTAACCCGGATCTTCACGGGTGCTGCACTTTATCCACACAAACTATTATTTCATGTTTGAGCAAAATAAAAGTTGATACATTATTGACGTTGGTTTTTCGAGATAGGTCTGCTTAAGAATTAAGAACATAGGCATGTGATATATCTACCTTCATATTCCCTCAAGCATGGGTTGCTGAGGATCCATTCTGACCCAGATCTTCACGGGCGACTTGTAGATATGTGTTTGACACGTGAGACCAATTCTGACCCGGATCGTTACGTGTCTGACACATGAGGCGTGTTGGTGACTCATTAATGTCGATGTGTGACAACTCTCAGTCTTCACAGTTTGGTTGTACCACATTCACAGTGACGCATGGGAAGAAAAAACACCTGAAAGAAGGACAAAGAAGACGAAAGACGATCCCAGTCAGTACTTGAAAAAAGAGAGAATCACATCGCCTCCTAAACAGGGCTTGATTGAGAACTGTATTCCCAATTCTCAATCCCGTAGGCAACGACGTATTACTCTTTGCAAATCTACCTATCTCGAGTGTTATAGCCAGTCGATAAACGACCGGAAGTTACCCCAAATCCGTGGCAAGTCAAGGTCCGAGATATAGCCACGTGGTTTGCCATGGTACCAGAAGATTCATTTCAACATGTATGGATTGGAAGGGGAAGTTCCAGCTGTATGAGTCTGTAGCGACAGATTGTAGCGACTTCCACCAAGGTCTGTATCCCAGGCTCCATACCTTCCTTCTGGCGGGACTCCTCCGGACGCTCCCGTACCATCCATTTCACAATATCCTTTGTGAAAATGTTCTCTGTGGGGCAGAAGTGTAGCCTTGTTAAAACGCCGTCTCACCATGCAGAAGACCTGGTGTCCCGAGCCATTGTTGGAACAATATTCGAATTTGTGCGTAAGACTATCCATCTGCTACAGTTGCCTTAGTGACAGGGAAACTTCTTGTAACGAATGTAATGCAAAACATGCTTTGGTCAACTTCATTCAAAGTCATGGTAGAATTTTATGTCAACACTTTGGTCATTTTTTGACGTTATTTGTGTGTACATATTTGCATATGTTGCTGAATAGATTATCTTTTATTCTCGTTCATAGTAGGTTGGCGCAAATGGCAAACATTGACAAAAGTATATTGGATCTCCTTCATTCTTCGTTATGAAAAGATGTGTGAAGCCCATTTCTGAAGACCCCCGCCGTGATATTGCTGGAATATTGCTAAAAGCGATGTAAAACCCAACTCACTTTATGAAAAGCTACAACCTGTAGAACAGGACATGCTCGTTGTGAACAGGGCGGTGAGTAGCTAGTGGTTAAAGCGTTCGTCCGTCATGCCGAAGTCCCGGGTTCGAGTCCCCACATGGGTATAAAGTGCAAAGCCCATTTCTGGTGTCCCCCGCCGTGATGCTGATGGAATATTGTTGAAAGCGACGTAAAACCACTCTCACTCACTCATTCTTTCTGAACATCAGTGAGCCATAGATATAGGTTTCGCTACTATATTGTTTTTAAAGTCCAGTGCCTTTAAAAAGATCCGGGTTAGAATCTATATTCAGTAACCCATGCTTGTTGTGAGAGGCGACTAATGGGATCGGGTGGTCAGGCTCGCTGACTTGGTTGGCACATATCATCGTACCCTAATAGCACAGATAGATGCTTATGAAGATGATCACTGGATTGTCTGGTCCAGACTCGATTATTTACAGACCGCCGCCATATAGCTGGAATATTTGCTGAGTACGGCGTTAAACAACCAGCCAACCAGTGTCCTCAGTTTTGGTGAGTAATAGAGACTGATTATTGTATGTTTTGTATGTATAATGAACATGTTTCATCAGAATAAAAAATGAATACGAATAATTTGCTTTCTTTTGTTAAGTTTTGATTTCCCAATTGGAAGAATGAATTAAACCAGAAGTCTGTAGGTACATGAAAAATGGCAGTGTCAGATATTACAGAACAAGCGAATGCTGTTGATCACTGGATTGTCTGGCCCAGATTTGATAAGTTACAGACCGCCGCCATAGAGCTGGAATATTGCTGAGTGCGGCGGTAAACACGCTTTCACTGCGCGCTCTGCTGACCGGCGGGCACCTCGTATGTTATGTATCCGACACGATTTCTTTTTCATTTCTCACAATTTTATTTCCCTCAGTCAAAGTTGGCCCATACAACGAAAGGTCATTTGTGTGTTATTTTTTTAAAAGGGGCCGTGGGGTAGCCTAGTGGTTGAAGCATTTGCTCGCCACGCCGAAGACCCGGCTTCGATTCCCCATATGGGTACAATGTGTGAAGCTTAGCTGCTCCCCCAGCCCTACTGCTTCATCAAAATACTTACACATCACCCGTGAAGATCCGGGTTAGAATTGATCTTCAGTAACCCATTCGTGTCATAAGAGGTCGACTGACGGGATCGGTTTGCCAGGCTCGCTGACTTGGTTGACACATGCCATCGTATCCCAATTGTGCAGATCGATTCTCGTGCTGTTGATCACTGGATTGTCTGGTCCAGACTCGGTTATTAACAGGCCGCCGCCATACAGATGAAATATTTCTGAGTTGGGCGTTAAACTGACTGACTGACTGAGTTTGGTTTTACGCCGCTTTTAGCAATAGTCCAGCAACAACACCGCGGGGGACACCAGAAATGGGCTTCACGTATTGTACCCATGTGGGGATTCGAACCCGGGTCTTCGGCGTGACGAGCGAACGCTTTAACCACTAGACTACCCTACCGCCCCTGGGCGTTAAACAACAATCAACGAATCCTTCAAATATGCACGTATCATAAGCACTAACAACAGGCGCGATATTAGGAAAATGTTTCAATTTACAATACAATAATCCACAACAATATACAAGGAATACAGCAATAGTTCAATCTGTACATAAATACATCTTAGCGTGTGGTACATTCATTTAACCACTATGGTATTTAAGAAAGTTACGATACTTTATGGATAACAGCTTTTTATGACGTTATCTGTACATAAATACATCTTAGCATGTGGTATATTCAATTAACCACTATGGTATTTAAGAAAGTTACGATACTTTATGGATAACAGCTTTTTAGGATGTACATTTCTTGTTAGCCATCGACTTCTAAAATGCCAATTAAACATATCACCGTGGTATTAACCTAGTTCTCTATATGTGCTCAAATGATTATATTTCCACTCAACTCGTACCAGTCAATGGTTTTATTCAGGAGTAAATAAGGCCACCGACCCTTATTACAAGTAACAATAAAGCTTAAATAGGGGCCGGTGGCCTCATTCACTCCTGGATAAACTCAACTGGTACTTTGAATCGGCATCTCTTGTTAGGAAACATTAATATCCGTGAGTGAGTGAGTTTAGTTTTACGCCGAACTGTAGTGACAGTGCTCGTTTTTGATTCAACGTCTCAGTTTCAGTCACGTTATACTGTGGGATAGAAGTGTGAAACTAGTGATGTGAAGTTCTAGAATGTTACATTCTGACTACTGAGTGTGTGAGTTTAGTTTTACGCCGCACTCAGCAATATTCCAGCTGTATGTCGGCGGTCTGTAAATAATTGAATCTGGACCAGACAATCCAGTGATCGACGGCATAATCATCGATCTACGCAGTTGGATGAAGTTAGCATCCTTTTTCAGAATATTTGATGGTAAAGTTTGTACGATTCTATTATACGGACTGAAGTTTGGGTATGTCAGTATTTCGACGAAATAGAAAGAGTTAGTTTATTTGCACGTAAGAAGCTTTTTGGGGTCAAGATATGCACATCTAATGTAATGATTTATGATGAATGTGGCAGGTTTCCTCTTATTTTACCTCACAAGTTAAAGAAATCAAATATTGGCTAAGACTTTTTATGTGCTCTAACAGATACAGATACTGCAATTTCTCATTGGATGCTTGCAAAAGATACAATTGTGTTGAGTAGTATCTCCTACAAGGAAAACATCGGGTGCAAATAGTAAGTAATATTCGACGACCACGTAATACGCATACAGACAGTTGAATAATGTTTCTGAAGGCTCTGCAACGCTGGACTAGCCACGTCATCGCAATTGATGGCAACCGCATCCCCAGACATTTTCTGTGTATTTTGCCCAACCGGAAGGATAACATTCAAGTTCAACCAGGCGGGCATGTTATAGAGGATACAGTGGCGGATACAGGATTTTCGTTTGGGGGTGGGGGGGTGTGGGGTGTGTGGGGGTGTGTGCACCCCAATCCTCGGAACCCTGGGCATAAAACAAGTAGTACATTTGGAACACTCTTGGGGGGGACCCCCGCACCCCCCCTCTGGATCCGCGCATGGGATATTATATGAGTGCCCATGTCATACTATGTTTACGACACGAGTGCCTGAATGTTGTTATTTCCCGAGCGAGAGCGAAGGATATACCGAAATTTCGGCACGAATATGATATTCTGTTTATTACCGAAGTTGTCAAATTGAGGAGAATATATCCAAATCTACTTTCAACCATAGGCTGGCTATCCGCCGATATTTTCGCCCTCGTAAGTAATAAACTTGTTTATTAATGTAACTACAGTCATGGGTCATGTGTAGCTTACACTTAATGGCGGTAGACATCTGTTTCCCAACCTTGAAGTGGTTGCATTGAATCCGAAGTGATGTCATTTAACGTGCTCACTACCTTTTACTAATTTCATTGGTTGACTTCTGTATCTTCACTGTAATGCAAACACATTTTCAGCTGTGTGCAAGACGCATTAGCACATCTTCTACATCCTGCACATCTGTAAGCGTACATTTCAGTTGATCCGCCCTAGATTTTCATTGATATTAATATGTCCGCCTCCGTGGTGTAGTGGTTAGAGCGTCCGCCCGGAGAGCGGAAGGTCGCGGGGTAGATCCCCGACCGCGTCAAACCAAAGACGTTAAAATATGGTACTTGTTGGTCCCTGCTTACTGGCTCTCGGCATTAATGGGTACAACGAGGGACTGGTGGGCTCGGAGTCAATTATAATGTGTCAGGTGGGGGTATTCATGCTTCACTTGCGGCATGTAAGGTATCTCAGTGGGCTAGCACTATGAAACCAGCTTAAGTCTGGGCTAGGTACAAGCAGGCGCACATACACATTTTACACGCATGCACGTCGTCATATGAGCGAAATATTCTCAAGCACGACGTAAAGCCCAATTTCACCTCACCTCATTAATATTATACTGACCCATCAAACATTGAGATACGGATAACGGAAACTTTAAAATCAAAGCAAAAGCCATTTTTACTGGAAACCATTAGATGACACACACGTGGATGCAGAAACCATACAGAACAAGTTCCACTGAAAGAGGCCAGACAGAAATTATTGTTTTCAAGAAAAACTAAAAAAAGAGATTGTAAACACCATTGTGTCGAATACACAGGGACCAAGCATTCACTATGGAACAGCAGTTATTTCGACAAAAAAGGTATAGAACAAAAAAAATATCAAGAAACCAATTACCGAATGAAGTTGTTGGTTCGACTAGATAAAGTGATACAGCTCATCATGTGTTTGCCTATGTTCAGTAACAACATGCAGCTCATCATGTGTTTGCCTATGTTCAGTAACAACATGCAGCTCATCATGTGTTTGACTATGTTCAGTAATAACATGCAGCTCATCATGTGTTTGCCTATGTTCAGTAACAACATGCAGCTCATCATGTGTTTGACTATGTCCAGTAACAACATGCAGCTCATCATGTGTTTGACTATGTCCAGTAACAACATGCAGCTCATCATGTGTTTGACTATGTTCAGTAACAACATGCAGCTCATCATGTGTTTGACTATGTTCAGTAACAACATGCAGCTCATCATGTGTTTGACTATGTTCGGTAACAACGTATGCAGCTCATCATGTGTTTGACTATGTTCAGTAACAACATGCAGCTCATCATGTGTTTGACTATGTTCAGTAACAACATGCAGCTCATCATGTGTTTGACTATGTTCAGTAACAACATGCAGCTCATCATATGTTTGACTATGTTCAGTAACAACATGCAGCTCATCATGTGTTTGACTATGTTCAGTAACAACATGCAGCTCATCATGTGTTTGACTATGTTCAGTAACAACATGCAGCTCATCATGTGTTTGACTATGTTCAGTAATGACATGCAGCTCATCATGTGTTTGACTATGTTCAGTAACAACATGCAGCTCATCATCTGTTTGACTATGTTCAGTAACAACATGCAGCTCATCATGTGTTTGACTATGTTCAGTAACAACATGCAGCTCATCATGTGTTTGACTATCTTCAGTAACAACATGCAGCTCATCATATGTTTGACTATCTTCAGTAATAACATGCAGCTCATCATGTGTTTGACTATGTTCAGTAATAACATGCAGCTCATCATATGTTTGACTATGTTCAGTAACAACATGCAGCTCATCATGTGTTTGACTATGTTCAGTAACAACATGCAGCTCATCATGTGTTTGACTATGTTCAGTAACAACATGCAGCTCATCATGTGTTTGTCTATGTTCAGTAACAACATGCAGCTCATCATGTGTTTGACTATGTTCAGTAACAACATGCAGCTCATCATGTGTTTGACTATGTTCAGTAATAACATGCAGCGACTATGAGGCACAATCAGGAAGGTCCGGGTCAGTTGTCAGGCAATCGACCATTTACACAATCTGTTAAAAGACTGTTGACCGTTAACAGTGTTCCCATCGAGACGATGAATACGTTTGAAGCAGTGTTCCCATCAACATGAGATTACAGATACTTTTAAAGCATTGCTACAATATGATAGATATGTTTGAAGCACTGTTCCCATCGACATGTTGGATATACTTGAAGCACTGTTCCCATAAAGATGATAGATACGTTTGAAGCATTGTTCCCATAAAAATTATAGATATCCTTGAGGCATGGTTCCCATAAAGATGATAGATATGCTTGAAGCATGGTTACCATAAAAATTATAGATATCCTTGAGGCATGGTTCCCATAAAGATGATAGATATGCTTGAAGCATGGTTACCATACAAATTATAGATATCCTTGAGGCATGGTTCCCATAAAGATGATAGATATGCTTGAAGCATTGTTCCCATAAAAAAATAGATATCTTTGAAGCATGGTTGCCATAAAGATGATAGATATGCTTGATGCATGGTTCCCATAAAGATGATAGATATGCTTGAAGCATGGTTCCCATAAAGATTATAGATATGCTTGAAGCATGGTTCCCATAAAGATGATAGATATGCTTGAAGCATGGTTCCCATAAAAATGATAGATATGCTTGATGCATGGTTCCCATAAAGATGATAGATATGCTTGAAGCATGGTTCACATAAAGATTATAGATATGCTTGAGGAATGGTTCCCATAAAGATGATAGATATGCTTGAAGCATGGTTACCATAAAAATGATAGATATGCTTGAAGCATGGTTCCCATAAAGATTATAGATATGCTTGTTTCCATGACGATAATAGATACGTTTCAAGCACGGTTCCCTCAAAGATGATAGAGGCGATTGAAGCGGTGTTCCCATAAAGATGATAGATACGATTGAAGCGTTCTTCCCATCATGATTATAGATGCGTTTTAAGTAACTTATCTTATTAAGACTATAGATGAGTTTGAAGCACGGTTCAACAAAGATGATATGTACGGTTGAAGCAGCGTCACCATCAGATGATAGATACGTTTGAAGCTTTGTTCCCATTATGATCACAGATACATTTGAAGTGTGGGTCCCATCAAGGTGATATATATATATATATATATATATATAAGGGCAAATCCGACCTTTGGGCGACAGTACTATAAACTGCGACCTTTGGGCGACATTGCCATATATTACAAACATACATTGATTTATTATTCTGCTTCGGTTATATACACTTTAATTTGATAATTAAACATTTAAATGGGATAAAACTGTGTACATATATACAAATAGAGAATATATTTTTGGTGTCGCCCATACCGTGTCGCCCAAAGGTAAAGTGTACGGCGTACATGTATATATGCGACCTTTAGGCGACTGTCGCCCAAAGGTCGTATATATATGTCGCCCAATGGTCGCTTATGAATGATACATATATATATGTCGCCCAATGGTTGCTATATACGTGTATACATTTCCATGGCTGCTTATTTGATATATGTCGCCCTTTGGTTGTTTATGTGTTTCAATGTCTTGCGCGCCGAGGAAATTATATTTCATATCTGTGTGCATGAAACTGACTTTCTTGTTTCCGATTTTTAACATCGCACAAACAATCAATTCATAGTTTTGTGCTTAATTTTCTCAAATATGATGCAGTCAAACAAAGCAGGCTAGTTAGAATTAACACTGAGATTATGATTACTTGTAATATTTCTAAAAATATTATGCTGTAACAGACATTTATCATTTGGCATAACTTTGGCATTGTTTCCCACTCAAGCGCCGATGTGCCCGTGCTTTATATTAGTGTCCGTTGTTAACAATTCATGGTTTGCTAAGGATTAAGTTTTAAGGATATGTTAAGATTAACCAACAACTAAATATCAAATATACCCATACTCAAACACTGAAAACCTCTATAGGAAATCAACACCCTTATGAAGACAGATATGTAGTCTTTCTTTCTGGGGGTAAGAAAAAGACATCGTATCGCTTCCGTGAACGAAGACGATTTTGTCAGTAAAGACGTCAAATTTTCAATTAAACATTATTAGACAATTTTAGTTATCTTTTTAGTTCGAATTTGTTTTTGCTAGGCATTGTTTAATCTGTAGGGATTAGGATTAGCGTGTGAATTTGCCTCGCATACACCGTCGGAAATGGCAATCAGCTGTGCACACTTTTCCCCGTGATCTACCGGTGATTTAGTTAAAATTTATCCAATATTACCACGCGATGAATTCTAATGGAGTAATCGAAAAAAATCTACTATCTGAAATTATTGCGTTTCCATAAGAAATATATTGTTTCGTTTTAATTGTAGGCTTTGCTCTATAAATGTAAATTTTCTATAATCATTACTGAGGTTATGCGAGAGCACGCACTATGGTGTTTTGCTGGATAGGCTTTATGCAAGGAACAATTTGACCTGTCACCGATGAGGTTTCGCGCGATCTCGCTTATTCCAGCGCGAAAACGCTTCGTTGACATGTGATAGTCCAACTGCAAGAAATATTACTTTTAGCGAAAACAAATATGTATACGTATCCATTTCCTGCCAAATACACTTCAATTCGAGGCGTGAGTAGATGTATAATGATAGTGATTGTTGTGACTAATGCAGACCGAAGTTAAAATATCGGGGAGACACAGGATATAACTGCAGTTTATATAAACATTCTTTTTAACCTTTGAGTAAAATTAATAAACTGGATTGCAAAGTCCAGATATGAAAAACGTTTTTTTAACGAGATAAAGTAACATCATCATTAACTTTCGTCATCAAATATGGATTTGTTGAAACTATTTCTAATGACTGATCACAATGAAAAGATGAGCGAAGGTTGATGGAGTCTGAATACCATCTAACCACAGCCCATTTTGAGCCATTCGGGACTATTCCGGTTCTCCTATCATACACTGAGGCATACCAGACGACTCCTGAATAAACTGGGGCTCCGACACGGATATTTGTCTGATTTCTGGTCTAAATACCACCAAACCACAGCCCATTGAGCCGGTCGGTGCTATTCTCGTTCTCTTATCATACACTGAGGCATACCAGACAACTCCTGAATAAACTGGGGGCTCCGACACGGATATTTGCCTGATTTCTGGTCTAAATACCACCAAACCACAGCCCATTTTGAGCCAGTCGGGACTATTCTCGTTCTCTTATCATACACTGAGGCATACCAGACAACTCCTGAATAAACTGGGGCTCCGACACGGATATTTGCCTAATTTCTGGTCTGAATACCATTTTAAACACAGCCCATTTTGAGCCAGTCGGGACTATTCTCGTTCTCTTATCATACAATGAGGCATACCAGACAACTCCTGAATAAACTGGGGCTCCGACACGGATATTTGCCTGATATCTGGTCTGAACACCATCTAAGCAGAGCCCATTTTGAGCCAGTCGGGACTATTCTCATTCCCTTATCATACACTGAGGCATACATGACAAGTCCTGAACAAACTGGGGCTCCGACACGGATATTTGCCAAATGTCTGGTCTAAATACCACCTATCCACAGCCCATTTTGAGCCAGTCGGGACTATTCTCGTTCTCTTATCATACAATGAGTCATACCTGACGACTCCTGAATAAACTTGGGCTCTTACACTGATATTTGCCTGATGTCTGGTCTGAATACTATTTAAACACAGCCCATTTTGAGCCAGTCGGGACTATTCTCGTTCTCTTATCATACACTGAGGCATACCAGACAACTCCTGAATAAACTGGGGCTCCTACACGGATATTTGCCAAATGTCTGGTCTGAATACCATTTAAACACAGCCCATTGTGAGCCAGTCGGGAGTATTCCGGTTCCGGTTTTGACTTCAAGTCATCAGTGTATCCACCTTTACATTTTAGTACCTTCTCACAGATACTACATCTGAATCCTGAAAAGATAAACAAAGAAAATGTATCTGCTGACATGGAAGACAGGTGTCTTCAGTTCTCATTTGCTGAATTTCCTGTGTATGAAGGACACCAAAACATTAATGCAAATGTATTAACAATTACATGAATCATTTGATAACAACCCACTTAAACACCTGATACAAATATGTAAAACAAATTTAATTGAGAACCCACCCACCCCCACCCACCCCTGTGATATGAACAGAATGGTGTCAGAACTTTCATACACCTGATTATCCGATGGAAGATTGAATTATTGACTACAGAAAACAACAAAATGTAGGCAATATGTTAATTTGTATACTCTGTATTGAGAAATGCCAATATTTTCTCTTCATGGGTATGGTCTGAATTGTGTGCACTACGAAACACGACACGCATCAGCTCTCTATGAAACTGTGGTAAGATATGAGTAGATAGTAACCTAAAAGTGAAAATGATATCTCTATAAAAGACATGATTATTGCAGGGATTAATTTTTGAATTGCAAATGTTTGGACATCAATCAAGTGCAAAAGTCAATAAAAAAGCTTAAAATGTTGAAAATTACCCTATTGATATGTGAAAAGAGCAAATTCTGCCAGTTTTCAAAATTTCTACATGTTCTGTAAAGTTTTCCATGATCAGAACCACAATACTTGTCTGGAACTGCTTGTTATGAGAGTATATACAGTTTTTCTTTAAATTTTTCATATATGTCATCAAAGACAGACTATCTGTATATAAGGCTATTCTTTGTCTATCAATTAATCTCTTATTTGCCATTTCGAATTTCTTGTTACATTTATAAATAGTAAAAGATCATGTATTGAGATAATACCTAAAACATGTATTGCTGCACTCGGTACTGATCAGCACACTACCATTCAAGATAACTGTACTAATATTGAGAAGGCTTAAACAATTTGCAAAGATTCATGAGGCATTACTTCATCGGGTATTGCAAGTTTGTGGTGCTGAATTCTAAAGGTAGGCCAGAACATTGTTAAGGTTAGGAATGCCATTATACATCGATACTTTTTCTAAGACAGCACAATCATTGATAAATTCAAAACTGTATCGATATTTAGTTTTGAAAGTATCGATTTAAATACGTTTTAATATGTATCGTTTACATTTTGCAATTGTATCATGTTTTTTAATGTTATGAGAGTTATAAATGATTATTTTTCATGCACAAAGATGCGAAATTAGAACTTTTTAATCTCTGAGAATAGAAAATGTTGATCTTTTCAAGGACTATTATAAAATATAAAATATTTAATGTTCAAAATGTAACTAAATTTACGCAATAATGCAGCGAAAATAGGTATCATGATACATATCGATTCATGAAAATTATGTAACGGGACATCCTTAGTTAAGGTAGAAATAAATTTAACAAAGTTGTAAAAATGGTATTCACAATTTAAACCTACTAACATGAAGGTATTGATCTCTGGATCACATAACCTACCCCTTCCTCACTTTGGAATGCCTCAGAGACTCCCCACTGATTCTGCAATTTGAAGATCACATTTCTCCTCTGCCAAGCTCAACGTCTCTTGATCCCGTTCATAATTGTCTGCATTATGTAACATTAAAAGTTAACAATATTATTCTCAAAATGATTATGAACTTAAATTCAAAACTGAGCTTAAGAAATAATATTTTTTCTTCTGAACTGATAAAGTATTTAAAATTCTACACGATTTAGTTATCACCCTAACACCATACATAAATTATGAATTTACAATGGTTCATATTCAGAAACTGTTGTAAAATAAAATTAACTTACCAGGCATAAACTGGATTGGATAGGATTTCCACGTCTAACAGGACCATTTGAGACTAGCACTATGAGTCTCTGAATATACATAATTTTGATAGAATCAAATAATTCCTTTTAAACTGAAAGGAGCTCCTGAGACCTGAAGTAAATCTAGACTTGCTTAAATTAGGTCTTTATCATTGCAGAAAGAAAAGCATAGACAAAGTAAAAATCATGCAGTTCAGGAACTATGAGACAGGCTAGACCTTTTCTGACTTTTTACAGTCTATGTCAACTTTGAACTTTTAATTTTTGTTCAAAGTTACTATTCATAATAACGATAATCGATTCTATGATTTATATCAATACTGTCTGCCCAGTGCTGTTCAGAGATGTTGATATTACTCGACAGTGCAAACTATTAGCCGATGATGGACCAATGATGAACAGCACACTACCTGAATAGATGCATCAGAGAGGCATTTCTGAAACTGTTGTTATGGCTTTGTAAAGGTAACTTACAACAGGAAGAGGCTTTAAATCTTACTGTTTGTATTGAAAGAAATGTTAAACTTCACCTCCATTTTAAAAGAAATAGTTTGTTTAAGAAAAACCTGCTTTTGAACAAAATTACCCTTTATGCAATTTGACTGCTAAAGGGAACTTAAAACCATAAAAGACTAATAACATATCCCTGCATAGAAACAGTTGGTCTATTGACCTACCAATAAGTTATAACATGTCTCAATGTGTTTGAGTGAGATTCATCCCTTGATTTTTCAGTTAATCTTATACCGTCCACTGGTGTTTACCCTCTTTCCTATGTTACACAATGTACAGGATTTAGACTTTGAAATGTTCCCCAATTAAACATACAAAGATATAGCTGTCATGGAATTATGAAGAAAGCTCAAAAGGAATTCTGACTGTGTTCTGCACAATATTGAATTAACAGATTCAAGTGCATCAGTGAAGTGGAAAATCTCAAGCATTTGAAACTATATCTTGAAGTTTGGACCAAGTGCAGAAAAATACAACGTAACCAACATTTATGGTTGTCAGTTGAGTCACCTGTGAGTAGGAGGATGTATTGGTCATAATTATGCTGGCTGAACGGCAGTGGCATGTGGACAGACATGGTTATAGTCCTGGGCCAAATGCAAGAAAAGTTTTTATCTTTTAGGATCTCTCAGCATCAGTTAGTGTTATCTGGTAATTAGAAATTCTTGTCATAACCAGCCACAAAATGTATCAGGTTACTAAAAACAAACAAGGTTTGATCCAGACAGCCTTTTCTTGTAGGTAATAAGGTGGTAGGCTACAATCTTTGTACTCATATGGTGATAATTATTATTATTAGCATGAAAATGGTGCAAAATATACATTTCATCACTATACACTGATATTTTCACTCTGATAGACCAGTGGAGGAGATACACTGCACATAAACACCCAAAGGGACAGGGTTGAAAGCAGGAGTACAAAAAGCTATATTTGAAAGTTAGAAACTCTTGATATAAATAATGTAACTGAAACATATTATGGTCAAGAGAGCAAATGCATATTTCCTTTGCATGAACAATTTAGGAAATGTGTTAGGGTTTCAGGACACTTTATTTGTTGTTTGTGGACACGAACCCGGGCTCTTAAATTTTCTGATTGACCAATATACTGTTCATTACAGCCTGTGCATGTTATGACATATATCATGTTTTTGCAAGAGCAGTCAAAATTCTGTTTTACATAGAATTCTCCGTGTTTCGTGTCCACAAACAACAAATAAAGTGTCCTGAAACCCGATATCCCACTGAGTGAACATCTAGATGTCTGTGCGAAAGGAAACGATGTTAAATTTACCATATTTCCTTTTATCAAGTTCAAAATTCGGACAAAGTAAAACGAATTTTAAAGAACACTACTTCATAGACAAGTACAAACCAATGTTAAACCATTGCAAGCTGTGACCTTGTCGCTCTAGAATGTTGTCCCAATTATGACGTCACAATATATATGTAATGACGTCATGCTGTAACCGCTACAGTCTCCCTGAAGAGTAAAGAACAGAAACATGTTGGAGAAAAGGCATTCTGTTTTTATTTATCTGTGCAATATATATATATATTTGAGGTGTTATTCCCATCAAGATCATAGATACGTTTGAAGTGTTGTTCCCATCAATATGGTCGATACGTTTCAAATACAGTCAAATACAAAGATGATAGGCACGTTTGGAGCATTCTGTCCATCAAGATGATTGATATGTTTTGAACCATTGTTCCCATCAAGATGGTAGATATTTTTTTGAAGCATTGTTCCCATCGAGATGATAGATATGCTATGTTTGAAGCATTGTTCCTGTTAAGATGATAGATACTTTTGAAGCATTGTTCCCATCGAGATGATAGATATTTTTTAAAGCAAAAAAATAATAGATACGCTTCAATCTTGTTTCCCATAAAGATAATAAGTACGTTTGAGGTATGGTGCCCACCAAATGAAAGATACATTTCCTATTGAGATGATAGGTGCGTTTCAAACGTTGTTCTCATTAAGATGAATGATCTGTTAAAAGCATTGTTCCCATCAAGAAGACATATAAGTTTGTCGCAGTGTTCAACTAGTGCTGAAGTGGGTGACTGTCATATAGCTGGAATATTGCGGCGTAGAAACACCTTCAGCTACCGAATATTTCTTCTGTGTTACTTTAAACGAAATATTGCTGCAGCTATCCCAGCCACTATCCCTCCAGTGCCTGTGGCATAACTCAAACCTATCACACAAGCAGCGGCAACTGCCCCTGCCAATATTTTCCATGTGATATCAGAAATGTCAAAATTATCCCTGGCATTTCTTCTGGCTTCCCTTTCATGGATCTTGCGACATTCACTGGAGTGCCTTGCGTTTCCTTGACTGCAGACGCTTCCTTTGAGACTCGGAGTAGCCATAAAGTGTCTGACTGTATTCCCGAACACCATCATCAATAATCTTCTGATCAGATGTTTGTTTTTTTGGCCATCATTTTCTCCAGCTCTATCCCCTCAATCTTCTTCATTTGACTCTCAGCTTCCTGATACATCTTATTTGTGAAGTGACCTCCATTCTGCCTTACAAGTGTGTCTACCAGCTCAAGTAACTCCTGCACAAACTCTTCATTGTCCTCAGTCGAGTCGTTGTTAACTGCAACGTAATTCCCACCAGATTCATTGATGAAAGTCTTCAGCTTCTTGTTGGAGTCGATGAAGTTTTTCAGACTCTTCCCAGACTTCTCAAGCTCATCTTTCCTGGTGAATATGACGATCACATGACGCTTTGATTCAGAGCCAAAAAACGTCAGAAATCTTTCCACAGAGGTTACTTCTTCTTCAGTGAACCTTCCCACACCAATCACAAACAGAATGGCGTGCACTCCAGGAGAGGTGAGGATGACACTCTTCTTTAGTTCTTTTTCAATACTTCTCTGACTTGCTCCAGTATCAAAGAAACCAGGAGTATCAAGCAGTAAAATATCCCTCCCGAATCTCTCAAACATGGCGTGTTGGCATGATTTTGTTACCGAAGAGGCTGAACACCCTACTTCGAAAGTTGGTTGTCCGATGATAGTATTCCCGGTGGAACTTTTACCTGATCCTGTTTTGCCAACGAGAATCAGTCGAGTTTCCTTAGACAAAAAGAGTTGACTTCTGGAATCTGAAACATAACACAAGGGGAAATATTAGATGTTTGCTTAGGAAAAGTTGTCTGCCAAATCCTCTGAGGAAGAATCTCAAGTATTAAAGGTATTCTAGGCTTGTTGATTGTGTAATTGGTGTATATTTTGCACATAGCTTGAATTTGAGAGAGGAACCCTTGCGTTTTGTGACTGAAATGTTGCAGCAACCCCGTGAAATAGCCGAAGATATTGTTCCCGGTCAGGTGCTGTCCCCAAGTGAAACTGTATGAGGTGAAACAAACCGGGTGAAACCACTTGGGGTGAAACTGTGCTGCGGTGAACGTGTTTTGGGTACAAAAATAATCTTCTCGTTTTTAGTACACAAGCTGTTCCTTCTGAATTAGCGGACCTTTGCGAATCATTACCTGAAGGACACCAGTGAAAGCCCTCCTTCCACATTATATTATTCTGACTGTATTTACAGTCAAACACCGTTATGTCGTCAGTTAAAGGGACCAACGTAAATACGTTTGAGTTATCCTAGGTCCAAGACATACTACACACGGATCTCATATACGAATTATACGAAGCGAGTGTCCTTCCTATTGTATGTGACCGAGGAGAGGAAGGTCACGAGTTTCGTATAATTCGTATATTATGATACCGAGTGTGGTATTTTACTTATTATCCACGTCTTATTATTGTTTTAAATTGATTAAATTAGCGTATTTTTGTTATTTTTATGGTTTCAAACCGAAACCGGTTTCATAAAGAGGTTGCGGAAGAATGTTGTTTTGTAGGACACTTTTTGCATGACGTCACACTGTAATGACGTCACTACACCTTGCTCGTCTGCCCCCTTGGTAACCAACGTCACGATGCATGTCAGTTGTCATCGCCTCGTACAGCTTCCTACATTCAACTACTCCATAGCACCCCGTTTCTAAGTTTGCAGTTGCTTCACTCGGCTAACATCACTGGTGGAAACTTTGCGACTATATTTTTCGACGCATATGATGTCTCAGTTCGACTGACAATTAAACAGCGATACGGCAACATTCGCAATGTTTACATTCCCACAATGCGTTTAAGTTGTAGAATGAATGAATTCACGTGTTTGTTAAGAATGAACAAGTAGTTCCGTCACAACGTGACCTAATTGAGAGGTCATTGGTTATCCAATCAAATCGTTAGAATCTCAGGTCAAGTCGTTACGACACAGGTCAACGCGATACGACACTCGTGTGACGTACGAGATTAGTATGCGACTACCCATACGTTGACCACGTGGGTAATAAATAACGCCAAAGTATTATTTTGAGAAACATCGTAAGCTTGACACAACTATGTTCGAGTGTATTATGGAAGACGAGAGCTTCTGTATTCCGTTCAAAGCAAGACAAAATGACATTTCTGTTTATAGGACCATTCCAAAGAGATGAAAATGATTTAGCTTTTCGACGGGTTCAATTTGTAGAAGCTACAGAGCACTGAAAGGGTTCTCACAAGACCTGACCCCTATCTGGGATCTGAACCTGGGAACATACGGGACTTACAGACCATTTAAGGGGTGCCAGTCTATAAGGTGTAATATGGTGTCTGAACAACATTTGGGTTAGAGATGCAGGATGAAGGATGAAGGATGAAGGATGAAGGATGAAGGGCGAGAACCAGAAAACCACGAAATTCATTCCATTCATTACCTTGTGCGGCAGCCATGTTCTCGTCTGTAGCTGGATCTGAAGAATAAGAAATATAAGTATGACTTAAAAAACAAGAACAAGAAAACATATGAACCGTTGAAAAACGACTCCCCAACTTTTAAGCCCAACCTGAATCTATATGGTGTTGCCCTGTGTCTAATTCCATTCATAAGCTATGTTATACGTCCACCCACACAGAGCGTCATTTGTGGGGTGTTGCCCTCTGTCTAATTCTATCCATAATCTATGTTGTACGTCCACCCACGCGGAGTGTCATTTGTGGGGAGTTGCCCTCTGTCTAATTCTATCCATAAGCTATGTTGTACGTCCACCCACATGGAGTGTCATTTGTGGGGTGTTGCCCTCTGTCTAATTCCATTCATAACCTATGTTGTACGTCCACCCACACGGAGCGTCATTTGTGGGGTGTTGCCCTCTGTCTAATTCCATCCATAAGCTATGTTGTACGTCCACCCACACGGAGTGTCATTTGTGGGGTGTTGCCCTGTGTCTAATTCCATTCATAAGCTATGTTGTACGTCCACCCACACGGAGCGTCATTTGTGGGGTGTTGCCCTCTGTCTAATTCTATCCATAAGCTATGTTATGCGTCCACCCACACGGAGTGTCATTTGTGGGGGGTTGCCCTCTGTCTAATTCTATCCATAAGCTATGTTGTACGTCTACCCACACGGAGCGTCATTTGTGGGGTGTTACCCTCTGTCTAATTCCAATCATAAGCTATGTTCTACGTCCACCCACACGGAGTGTCATTTGTGGGGTGTTGCCCTCTGTCTAATTACATTCATAAGCTATGTAGTACGTCCACCCACACGGAGTGTCATTTCCGGGGTGTTACCCTCTATCTAATTCCATCCATAAGCTATGTTGTACGTCCACCCACGCGGTGTGTCATTTGTGGGGTGTTGCCCTCTGTCTAATTCCATTCATAATCTATGTAGTACGTCCACCCACACGGAGTGTCATTTGTGGTGCTACTATCTCAGGCTGCCGATTCTTTTTTTATGATTGTTTTAAAGGACTTTGAGAGGGTGAGTGAGTGAGACAAAATAGAGTTACCACCTGTATATAAGCTTTGTATTCTTTACATACATTGCGTACATTTGTATATATGTCGCAAGCGAAGAGATAAACATACAGCGTTTTTTGTGTCAAATATTGTTTACAGGGAGGAAAGCTTCTTTGATCTTGTTGCGACTCGATATAAAGGGAAAATATATAGATGCAAGACACCACGAAGTGATCTTATGGAGCATATATTATATCACACATACCTACGTCATAGAACAAACACAAATTATCTCGAGGGGATATATGAAGGAGTATATATCGCATGCCTATGTTCTTCAGTAGACCCATCTCCGAAATAACTCTCCAATAATGAATCAACTTAAAGGTTAATCAAAGATAAAGGTTTAGATAAAGTGCAATTCTGTAAGATAGTGTGTGGATTTACACCTTGACAATAAGGACCAGACAATAATCAACTCACATAAACTTGCGTTTGACAATATGAACTTTAGGAAGGTCTCCAGGGATGTGTGAGGGCAATTGTGGGTCGCAGTGTTAAAGTTTTGATTCAGAAAGTCTCGGGGCGGTGGGGTAGCGTAGTGGTTAAAGCGTTCGTTCGTCACGCCGAAGACCCGGGTTTGATTCCCCACATGGGTACAATATGTGAAGCCCATTTCTGGTGTCCCCCGCCGTGATATAGCTGGAATATTGCTAAAAGCGACGTAAAACTGAACTCACTCACTCACTCAGAAAGTCTACCACACACTCTCTCACCCAACCGCCATCCCAAACCTTAGCCACTTTACACTTATATTCTGGTCTTGTCACCTTGTAACTATCACATCGGCATGATTCAAACCATTCTCTGTTTTATCACTGACACAAGATGCCTGGAAACAAGCCACGCCACGGATCTTAAGCACCATGAAACCTTAAGTCACTTGGCAAGGCGACCCTGCCGCCATACCGAACCGAAGCCACTTTACATTCATATTCCGGTCTTGTCACCTCGTAACTATCACATCAGCATGATGCAAACCATTCGCAGTTTTCTCGCTGACACGAGATGCCTGGAAACCAGCCACGCCACAGATCCTAAACACCATGTAACCTTAAGGTGAGCATGAGGTACCGGCGGCCTGTTATCGCCCATAAATCTCAACTTGGCTTAACAGACAAGGACAACATGCTATGGAGACAATGTAATTACCTTTCTAGCTTGCTTTCTGGATGTTCCACCTTGGTTCGTCCTCTGATACTTGATGATCACGTGTCTGTATTTCTAGGAAATGCATGTGATAAAATGACTCTGTTATCTCGACAAACTTTGTTCATAGCCATATGGCGCTCTTATCTCAATCGATATACCCCCTGCACATCGACTGGGTTGATGACTGTCATAAATAACTGCATTTTCCCACTTATGTTCGCCCACACAGGAAACTGTCTTCCACTGAAATATATTCTGCAACCTAAGGACATTGAAGAACTAAATAAAAGATTTTTCGTTCATTGTTTTAAGATGGGTGTTAACTGTTCTGGGTTTTAGATGTCTCAATCTGCAGTTTTCATTATTCTCAACAGGTGACATGGATTGTTGATGATGACGATATTTACTTGCCGTAGTAATTTATGTTCACAATATGCATTGCATTACATAAATTATCCCTTATCAAGGGTACTGTGACCCGTGCAGATACAGAATTGGACTTCAGCAACACGGGCTTCACGTAAGAGTGAGTGAGTGGGTTTATTGTTACGCCGCACTCAGCAATATTCCAGCCATATGGGGGCAGTCTGTAAATAATCGAGTCAGGACCAGACAACCCAGTGATAAACAGCATGAGCATCGATCTGGGCAATTTGGCTTGACGTAAGAGGCGAGGTTAGGGTTGTCAAGCTATATTACCTTAAAAAGATTCCCTTGAAATTAGGACATAATTTACAGTCGATGTCAATTTTGGAAATAGATTTTGTCTGTTAGTCCATTCCTACCTTAGATTAGGTTCTAGCCATTTTATTTCACACCAAAAACTGACAGATACATTTCAAGTTCCGTGCTCCTCGTGCCACTTGAGAAAATACCTTTCAGTACTTATTTGTGTCCAACTTACACCATTGTTTGAAACAATACAACGTGTATATCTCCCACCATGTTATATGTACAAAATATCATCTTATTTGATTTTGGGGATCGCTACCGACTATATGACATGTAAACAAAACGGCGTCTTTTTCTCGACATATTCTGACAAGCTTAAAACAGCTATAAAATGACTGATTATGTTTAAGTTGAGTGTGCAAACTATTCAATGTATTAAAAAGTGTAAATAAAGCAGTGAAAGTCGGTAAAATAAATGTGTACATAGTGAACTCCAAAATACCTAATCGAACGGTTTTCGAACACCGGGCACTGACTAATATGATTGTTAGCGATACAGCTTCTCGGCGGAGAGTTTGGCGGTTACCGTGGCAGCAGGTAATATTTTTTTCCAGTTGTCGGAACTTGTTAAAGCGTCATTGACCAATGAAATTAAACTATTTTACATGAAGGTAAGATAACATGTAATATTAACATGCAAACTTGTAACATGCAAACAGCCATCATTTACACCTTCTCTATGTGGTACTGTTGACATAAATGTACTGCTAATTCAGTCCGTACATTAATACATCTTAGTATGTGGTAAATTAATTTTAACATTGCAGTGGAAGTTGCATTCTCTTCCCACAGAGGTTACTTGTCATATCTTCCTACGAACCCCTGTTCTAATACGGCCCTTTCATGGTGCGATTGTTCAGGATTCGTGATTGGTTGCAATCAGATTTAGTTGTGCAATCAGCGACGTTGTTTCAAAAGGGATCATTCGCAAGGCCTTGGTAGTTTCCGTATACTTCGGGAAAACTAGAACCTCTACCCCTGTGCGATGTGCAAACGTTTCTTCTAGACAGAACTCAGTCATGTTTTGGCGGATCAATGGCGTCTCCGTCGCACTCGTTGACAACTGACAAGCTAGCCATTAAATGTCTTGTGTGTCACATTAACACAAGTCCCCGACTGAGGAGGGATATTTGTGATGCCATATTTGCTTGCATTAGTCAAGTTGGATCTCAGTCGATAATACACGTGTTCTGATTGGATAGAATAAGGGAGATAATTCGTGTTGCGATTTTTTGCCGATAGGGGATTATACGAGAACCGGGAAATATGTGAGAAGAAAATGTGGCAGTTGTTGACATCCACAATTTTTGTGTTATAAATTAACTCTGCGATGAAATAACAAGGGATTTTTTATTAAGTGTGTTGATTTATTATGTTTATGTTCTTAAGTGAATAATGGTGAATGTGAGCTCAATTCTGTCTAAACCGGATTATTTCTTCAGTAACGACGAATGCCGGTTTAGACAGATTCCACTGTAATTATTTACTTGTAATCAAATGCTTATATTACTACTCAGCCGGTACTATTGAATCAGCAGCTCATGTTAGCAAACCTTTAAATATACAACCGTTTAGGTTTGGTATGCCGTGGAATATTGCTTCGTGTCTTGTACGAACATTAAGATAAACCTTGTGGTGTGAAGTATTGCCCTCATTATTATTATATACTATTAATCTATCATCAGTAGAATCAATTCACACCACATAATTCACAAATTAGACCAGATAAAAAAAAATTCAGTAACAAGATAACAGTAAATATCCTGACAAATAATTTGTCCTCGATGCGATGGAAGACTTCATATGAGGAACCATTTGTTATAGAAGTAAAGTTTGTGCTACGATACCATTTCCTAGCCAGAGACATGTGTTGATCCATTATCGTACCTCACGCCCACCCGTTAAACAGTTTGATTTCATTACGTTCACATCGACGCATGGACAGAATGAATTTAAACAAGCTGCACTATTGGAAGGATAAGTGTTCACATACATAGTGAATACCTGGGTGAATATCAGGGAAGTATGATTTACTGATCTTCCAGTTACCTTCACACAGAGTGAATATGCGTACATTTATTCATATTGCGGACATATTTGTGAAAGTATTTTCCCTACTGGGTAACACAGAGACGTATATCTCGCATATCGTCTACTGAAGGGGCAATGGGTAACACAGAGACGTATATCTCGTATATCTTCTACTGAAGGGGCAATGGGTAACACAGAGACGTATATCTCGTATGTCTTCTACTGATGGGGCAATGGGTAACACAGAGACGTATATCTTGTATATCGTCTACTGATGGGGCAATGGGTAACACAGAGACGTATATCTCGTATATCGTCTACTGATTGGGCAATGGGTAACACAGAAACGTATATCTCGTATATCGTCTACTGATGGGGCAATGGATAACACAGAGACGTATATCTCATATATCGTCTACTGATGGGGCAATGGGTAACACAGAGACGTATATCTCGTATATCGTCTACTGATGGGGCAATGGGTAACATAGAGACGTATATCTCGTATATCGTCTACTGATGGGGCAATGGGTAACACAGAGACGTATATCTCGTATATCGTCTACTGACGGGGCAATGGGTAACACAGCGACGTATATCTCGTATATCGTCTACTGATGGGGCAATGGGTAACACAGCGACGTATATCTCGTATATCGTCTACTGACGGGGCAATGGGTAACACAGCGACGTATATCTCGTATATCGTCTACTGATGGGGCAATGGGTAACACAGCGACGTATATCTCGTATATCGTCTACTGATGGGTCAATGGGTAACACAGAGACGTATATCTCGTATATTGTCTACTGATGGGGCAATGGGTAACACAGAGACGTATATCTCGTATATCGTCTACTGAAGGGGCAATGGGTAACACAGAGACGTATATTGTCTTCTGATGGGGCAATGGGTAACACAGAGACGTATATCTCGTATATCGTCTACTGATGGGGCAATGGGTAACACAGCGACGTATATCTCGTATATCGTCTACTGATGGGGCAATGGGTAACACAGAGAAGTATATCTCGTATATCGTCACGGTTATACTGACTAATAAACTACTTTCACAGTTTGCCAATATGTGTATATTGCATTAGACATCTAATCCATGACGATGAATCTGTACGGTAGCCTTTTCTCATCACGTGGAGGACACCACAGTCCCATCCCATCCTGCTGCAATATCGTGACAACTTGTGAAAAACACTCACACGCTATTCTACACTTGGGTGATCAATATACAATCATAAAATATTCCATGAGTAGGTATGTTTAAATTTACAACTAGTTTCTCCAAAGCAGCATGGTGGTTGGCACATATGGCAAACACTTATTTTCTCCCACTGCTTGTAAAATAAATTTAATCTCACACTCACAGACAGACAGATAGATACCTTACCTTTGCATACATTTTAAATATGTTATAGCCATTCATTATTTCAGCCAGGTCTTTCAGTAGATCTGCTGCCATCAATAGTTTGGACAAGCGATTTAAACTGAAGTTCTGATATCATGGTTGAATCAAATCCGAATGATTTTCTATCTATGGGAGACTAGTGAAACTATCACTTTAGTTTACCACGACCATGAATACGTTGTTTGAAGACAGAGATGAATGCTTCGTCATTACCATTACCAAATCAGTGGGATATCCAAATATTCCCTAAGCCATAACTAAACAGCAAAATTCTGATTTGAGATGGGGGAGGGGGGACTACTTTGATTTTACACTCATGTGTCTGCTAACATACACGTTTCAAGACCGACCCCTCAAGAGAACTTTCTACAGCTGTCAACAATTTTCAATCACTACACCTGTTTATGTTGGGAATATCAATATTTTGGTTAATTAACATATTAGACTTGTGATCCAATATGTTAGATTTGTGATCCAGTATTCTACATTCGTGATCCAATATTTTAGATTCGTGATCCAATAGTATTGTATTAGAGATCTGTACTCTCATTCATTGGAACCTTCAATATACAGATGAATATTATAGACTCGTCTGTGTTCTATTTTGCTGGTTAAAAGGGGATTTACAAGTCTTGTATCACAGTAATACTAAAACCTACACTGCAGATATGTTTTTTACACAAGTATTTTAACACCATACACCCTTGCCTGTCTTGCAAGGGTACTAGATGATGTAGTCCATTACCTTTGGGATCATGAGACCCAGATATTATAGGATCTAACAGACTCACGTGATACACATGGTATCATCAATACATCTGTCACATCTACAGATGCTGCAATTTCTCATTGTATTCTTGCAAAAGACACAATTGAGTTGAGTAATATAGTAGTATGTCCTACAAGGAACAAATTATGTGCAAATAGCAAGTAAATTGCGTTGTACATCTCCTCCTATATGACCACACCGTTACAGAAGTATTAGTTTTCTGTGGATCTACTTTGATTTCCTATTGTTCATGCCACCATCTCCTAGAACATTTATCAATTGTCTATTATTACTTATTGCTTACGTTTCTTCACGAAATGTAACCTCTAAAGACATCAGGATGTAATCACTTTCCACTCGACAAGCAAGGCAGGTCAAGATTAGTGTAAACACGTGTGACGTCACCAGTATTCGACGATCACGTAATACGCATACAAACAGTGGAATAATGTTTCTGGAGGCTCTGCAACGCTGGACTAGCCACGTCATCACAATTGATGGCAACCGCATCCCCCGACATTTTCTGTGCAGTGAGTTCAAGGATGGCTCACACAGGCGGGAAAGGCCCAAACTAATACTGAAGGACACTCTGAAGAGAACCTCAATTAGGGAGGTATCAAACCACTCGAGATCGAAGACTCTGCTACGCACAGATCAGTATGGACGTCGCTCACCTCCAGAGCAACTGCTGCCTTTGACGAGGGCAGACGACAACGTCTCGCTTTCGCAAAGGACAGACGTCACAGAGCATCGTCCTCCTCTGTACACACCACAGACTACCTCTGTGAGAACTGTGGGCGCCTGTGTTCTTACAGATCCGATGAACCTCCAAGAAGAAGCAAATACGATTCAACCAAATGATGAATTTCAAGATCTCTTACGCACAATACTGAAGGATATCTGTGGTGTTTTGGAACACTTACACAATGTTTGATGTCTGTGGGTCGCAATCAAAACAGTTTACAAAACATGTACGTTGTCGTTTTGAAAATACTAAAAAGAAAGAGGTTGTAATTCCTTTTGTCTGTCGGTTGGTGTATTTTCCCCAACCGAAAGGGATATCATTCAACTTCAAGCAAGAGGACATATCACTTGTCTACAGCCATGGAACATTTGTATCGTACATTTAATTGCTGTAAACATCTGTTTCCCAATCTTGAAGTGATGCCATTGAACATTCCCACGACCTTTTACCAATTTTATGGGTTGGGTTCTGTATTTGTACTGTAATGCAAACACGTTTTCAGCTGTTTGCCAGATACATTGGTACATCCTCTACATCCTGCACATCTGTAAACGTACACCATCACCTGGATTCATGGCTGTGGTTCTCGCGATCACACTTTACCCTAAATTGTCATTAACATTAACCCGACCAATTAAACGAGGAGATAAGGATAAAGAAAGCTTAGTCATCAAAGCTAAAGCCAGTTTTAATAGACAATCAGTAGATGATACACACTAAACATGAAGAACTTACAAACACCTTGTGTGGAGTACACAAGGACCAAACTTTCACTATGAAACAACAGTTATATTGACAAGCAGGTTTTACTCAACTTTGTTGGACTACATTCCGGTATAACATAAACGGGTGGTGGGGTAGCAGAGTGGCTGAAGCTTTCCATCGTCACGATTAACCACATGGGTACAATGTGTGAAGCCCATTTCTGGTGTACCCCGCCGTGGTATTGCTGGAACATTTCTTAAAGCGGCATAAAACTAAACTCACTCACTGTAACATAAAGAAAACATGGGACACAATGATAAGGGTCCGGGATAGTTGTCAGGCAATCGACCATTTCTTCAATGATTGTTAACCGTTAACGGTGTTCCCATCAAGATGATAGATACATTTGAAGAATGGTTCCCATCAAGATGATAGATACATTTGAAGCATAGTTCCCGTCAAGATGATAGATACATTTGAAGCATAGTTCCCGTCAAGATGAAAGATACATTTGAAGCATAGTTCCCGTCAAGATGATAGATACATTTGAAGCATGGTTCCCATCAAGATGATAGATACATTTGAAGCATGGTTCCCATCAAGATGATAGATACATTTGAAGCATGGTTCCCATCAATATGATAGATACATTTGAAGCATGGTTCCCATCAAGATGATAGATACATTTGAAGCATAGTTCCCATCAAGATGATAGATACATTTGAAGCATGGTTCCCATCAAGATGATAGATACATTTGAAGCATGGTTCCCGTCAAGATGATAGATACATTTGAAGCATAGTTCCCGTCAAGATGATAGATACATATGAAGCATGGTTCCCATCAAGATGATAGATACATTTGAAGCATAGTTCCCGTCAAGATGATAGATACATTTGAAGCATGGTTCCCGTCAAGATGATAGATGCATTTGAAGCATGGTTCCCATCAAGATGATAGATGCATTTGAAGCATAGTTCCCGTCAAGATGATAGATGCATTTGAAGCATGGTTCCTGTCAAGATGAAGGATACATTTGAAGAATAGTTCCCACCGGATTAGCTGTATTACTTTCAACCAAGAAGTAGGGCTAGTCCAGCCACCATCCCTCCAGGGCCTAGGACAACACTCAAAGCTATCCCGACAGCAACTGCAACTGTCCCTGCCAATATTTTCCACCTGTTGTCAGAAATGTCAAAATTATCCCTGGCATTTCTTCTGGCTTCCCTTTCATGGATCCTGCGACATTCATCCTGGAGTGCCTTGCGTTTCCTTGACTGCAGAAGTTCCTTTTGGGACTCGGAGTAGCCAGAAAGTGTCCAACTGTATTCCCGAACACCATCATCAATGATCTTCTGATCAGATGTTTGGTTTTCTACCATCAGTTTGTCCAGCTCTATCCCCTCAATCTTCTTCATTTGACTCTCAGCTTCCTGATACATCTTATTTGTGAAGTGACCTCCATTCTGCCTTGCAAGTGTGTCTACCAGCTCCAGTAACTCCTGCACAAACTCTTCATTGTCCACAGTCGAGTCGTTGTTAACTGCAATGTAATTCCTCCCAGTTTTATTGATGAAAGTCTTCAGCTTCTCGTTGGAGTCGATGAAGTAATTCAGACACTTCTCAGACCTCTCAAGATCATCTTTCCTAGTGAATATGACGATCACATGACGCTTAGACTTGTCTCCAAAAAACGTCAGAAATCTTTCCACAGAGGTTACCTCTTCTTCAGTGAACCTTCCCACACCAATCACAAACAGAATGGCGTGCACTCCAGGAGAGGTGAGGAGGACACTCTTCTTTAGTTCTTCTTCTATACATCTCTGACTTGCTCGAGTATCAAAGAAACCAGGAGTGTCAAGCAGTAAAATATCCCTCCCGAATCTCTCAAACATGGCGTGTTGGCATGGTTTTGTTACCGAAGAGACTGAACACCCTACTTCGAAAGTTGGTTGTCCGATGATAGTATTCCCGGTGGAACTTTTACCTGATCTTGTTTTGCCGATGAGAATCAGTCGAGTTTCCTTAAACAAAAAGAGTTGATTCCTAGAATCTGAAACATAACACAAGAGGAAATATTAGTTTGGTTTAGGAATAACTGTCGGTCAAATCTCAAGTAAACATCTTTGAAGGTATTAGGTCAGGATTAAGGTATGCGTCACCAATGCACATATCAAGATTGAGTGAATGAGTAAGTTTGGTTTTATGCCACTTTTGCTAATATTCCAGCAATGTCATGGCGGGGGACACCAGAAATTTGGCTTCACGCATTGTACCCATGTGAGGAATCGAATCGGGGCCTTCAGCGTGACAAGCGGACGCTTTAACCACCTAGGCTACCCCACCGTCCCATACATATGAAGAAGCTTGGATATAAAGAAATTAAGTGTCGTAATTTGTGTATATTTATTTTGCACAGGCTAGAATTTGAGCGAGAATCAGTCGAGTGTCCTCAGTCAAGAAGAGTTGATTTTTGAAAAATAGAAACGTAACACAAGGGGAAATATTAGGTGTTGTCTTAGGTATAACTGTCAGCCAACTCTTCTGAGGAACCAGTATTAGATACGTTGATTGTGTAATTTGTGTATATTTTTCACGGGCATGAATTTGAGAGAGAGGAATTCTTGCAATGTGTGTGACTGGCATTTTGCAGCAACCCCGTGCAACACATATCACGACTTCTATCACTACTTCTACAAAAATAGTCTTCACGTTTTGAGTACAAATGCTGCTCCTTCTGAACCAATACCGGAAGGACGCCAGTGTGAGTCATCCTGCCATATAGATTGTTCTCTGATTCTATGTACAATAAAACACTTTTATGTCAAACTAAAGGGGCGGCGAGGGTAGCCCAATGGTTAGAGCGTTCGCTCGTCCCGCCGAAGACCCGGGTTCAATTCCCCATATGGGCACAAAGTGTGAAGCCTATTTCTGGTGTCCCCCGTCGTGATAATGCTGAAATATTGCTAAAAAACGGCGTAAGACTAAACTCACTCACTCAAAGTTAAAGGAAGCAACGTAAATACTTTTGAGTTTCCGAGGTTCAACATAAAATGATGACTTAGTAACAAATACCCAAATTCAAGTTATTACTTAAAGGTCACATGCAATGTAAAACACAATTTTGCAGATTCTGATACCTTTCGGTATGGACTTACAGTAACAAATAATCAAAAATGCAAATTCAACTTATAAAGTTAAAAAATAACGCGATGAAAAACCCCGCGAAATCGGAGTTCAACCGATTCAATAAATTCACCCAGCTGGGGTGAAAAGTCGGAGTCAACAGCTGTGCTGCACTGCGCACAAAGCGCATGCGCAGTGAATAGATTTAGGTGGCTTGATCCGGGATGCCAAAACGCACAAAGAGCCCTGAGGGTGTCGGCAAATGAACTCGATAATGAAAGACCTCGTTACACCCGCTCTGACTGGGTTCGGTATCCCGGGTGCTTCGTTTCGAGGTGAGTAAACCCAAGTGCAAAATATTGCACTTTTGATTTGCGATTGTACGCTTATAATTGTGTTTATTTGTTTTTTCATAATCAGCAATCTATATTATATGTCATAAATAAGTGATAATTGTGTTTTAATTATGTTTTTTGTTTTTTTGCTTGCATGTCACCTTTATGTTTAAGTTGCCCCGTACGTTTGACCCAACAGTGTTTGACTTTATGATGGAAGCCAAGTGCCCCCGTAAGTTTGACCCAACAGTGTTTGACTTTATGATGGAAGCCAAGTGCCCCTGTAAGTTTGACCTTACAGTGTTTGATTTTATGATGGAAGCCAAGTGCCCCCGTAAGTTTGACCCAACAGTATTTGACTTTATGATGGAAGCCAAGTGCCCCTGTAAGTTTGACCCAACAGTGTTTGACTTTATGATGGAAGCCAAGTGCCCCTGTAAGTTTGACCCAACAGTGTTGGACTTGATGATGGAAGCCAAGTGCCCCTGTAAGTTTGACCCAACAGTGTTTGACTTGATGATGGAAGCCAAGTGCCCCCGTAAGTTTGACCCAACAGTGTTTTACTTGATGATGTAAGCCAAGTGCCCCCGTAAGTTTGACCCAACAGTGTTTGACTTGATGATGGATGCCAAGTGCCCCCGAAAGTTTGACCCAACAGTGTTTGACTTTATGATGGAAGCCAACTGCTGTTATGATGGAAACGAACTGTGTTCCTTCCGTTCAAAGCAAACCAAAACAACATTTTTGTTTGTAGGATCAAATTGATGCAGATGTTCGACATTATTAAGTTGTAGAAACTACGGAGCATTCATAAGACCAGATACGAATCCTTGAGCCAGGGAACAGTAGGCACTTACAGCCCATCTAAGGTATGCAAATCTATTCAGTGTAATGTGGTGTCTGAACGATATTTGGGTAAGGAATGAAACTTGAAAACCGGTAAACGATGAGATTCATTCCATCCATTACCTGGTGCGACAGCCATGTTGTCCTCTGCAGTTGGATCTGAAATATATAAAATATAAGCATAACCTAAAAAATCATGAAAATATACTATTCCAAAAAAGAAACGCACAACCCAGAAATCTGTTGCGAAAATGTTGTTTTTTCAAACATGTCTAACTCGACCACAGACTTTAAACATACATTTTTACATCAGTTTAGAAGAAGAAAATGTCTTTACAACTCAGTGGATAATTTTCGATAACGGAGACGTTGAGCGCAATAGTGACCACGTAGCGTGTGGTCTCAACGTCCGGTCTCCTGGCTCTCAGTCCAATCTATCTCAACCTGCTCCGTACAGTTTGACCGGATATCCTCCGAAGTCCAGGCACCCTGGCTGCCTGCCCACACCCGTGTCAGTACGATCACGCAAATGTAGTACCCGGATGTACCGATCTTGGGCTGCAGTAGTGACTCGAGGTCTGCCTGTATGGGGACGGTCATTTGTTATACCTGTTTGGTTGTAACGAGCTGCAAGAAGTGATATCGTGCACAGACCTTAATTCAGACGCCTGGCAACAGGAAATTGGTAATCTCCAGTGTGCATTCTTTCAATGGCGATGTTCCGTGTCGCAGCGTCAAGACGTGGTGTAGTGATTGTTTATTTTTGGATTTCAAAGTGTTAGGGAGATATGGTTGACCTCATCGCGATGAGGAATATTGTAGAAGGTATGACGTCATTTAGCAAGTAGGCAATACACGGCCCCCAAACACTCCCCATGCCATTCCGACTTCAGTCGCTAGAGAGAACGCACGCTTACTTTTGACTCTGCTGGTTCTGGTGGTTGTATATGTTGAATATAGACTATGGAAGCAGTTCACCGTGATATTCTGAGGAAGAATCGCTGGGGAAGGAAATAGTTCATATAGCTTTTCCAGAAAGGCAGCAGTGATCAAATGGGTCTTTAGCAGAGATTTAAAAGTTTCTTTCAATGAAGTGCTCCTGATTTCCATGGAAGAGAGTTCCACTGTTCCGAGCTGGCAAAAGAGAGGGCTCGATCAGACAGTTGGTTTGGAGAAAGGGGCTTTGTACCCCGATCAGTCGACTGCCACTCAGCCTTTAAAAATCGGGTATTGTTATGAAAATGATAAAATTATAGAGTATGCCTTCTTTCTGGCAACAGCATTTAGTTCTTATACTGAGGCACCGTGTAAACAAAGTCGTAATGTTGTTTCTGTAACGTCACAGAGTAGGAAATGCGAAATGGTATGCAGTTTTGATGGTAGGTATTTGATAATACATAAAACACACCAGCCCAAACCAATCGGTCAGAACAATCGTGTATACAAATTCAAGTGACCTACATGTTCATCGATTTCTATTGAAATGCCCTGAATAAATATGTTTTATCGCTGGGCGGACTGACAATACTAGTTATAAGAATAGAGCGGCACAAGCCAGGTTGTTTCATTGTATTTTCCACGTGCCACAGCTCGTTCAATACAATACCCTTTCAAGCGTCTATAGAAATTCACTTCACCGTCAAGAATAAATTGGGCTCCTTTCCATATGTTTGTGATAGAAATGAGTTGTGTTGCCGCGCTTAATTTATACACTTCACATCAAGAATGATTATATGCAATAATTACTACATAATACACATTCTTTTGTGTTTCTCCACATTCTGTAGACAGAAACTAGCCCTGATGTGATATGATACCTTTCAGAATGTTCTATTTAATGAGGTGACACACCTGCGTGGTCAGTACAAAGTCACACACACACCTATATAATGAGGTCATAGATTCCAGAATAGTCGATGCCTCTGCGCAATGAGGTCACACACCTACGTAATGAGGTCATAGGTTCCAGAATAGTCTATGCATCTGCACAATGAGGTCACACACCTGTGTCACGAGGTCACAGGTTCCAGAATAGTCGATGTCTATGTGCAATGAGGTCACACACCTATGTAGTGACGTCATAGATTCCAGAATAGTCAATGCCTCTGCACAATGAAGTCACACACCTGTGTCATGAGGGATTCCAGACAAACCGAAACATGAGTCTCATTAACCTGTTCAGACAATGACCTACTTTTCAGCCGATCCAAATTGTCTCGTGTGAAAGTGCAAATAGACATCACAAACAACTATGGTTACAATGAATTCCAATTCCTTGTTTCATAGAAAAGTGGTAGTTATAAATGAATTTCAATTTTAAACTTTAATAACATCGTATTTCTATATTTCATGGCGAGGCGTAGCCAGCATGACATTAACTATGATGTCGTAAAATTATTCACAATGCATCTGGCTTATTGGTTACACCTGTTATGTGTTTTTTGCGCTTATTTAATGTAGTTCTGTAACGCACAATGTGATTCATATAATATCAAGTCCGTACCAGACCGCCAAACCTTTCTAGCGGCAGAGCCTCGTTTTGAGATTTCCACGATTTCCAGGCTTCTGTTTGTCAGTGCTCGCTATACGACAGTGCACGCTGCACTGCATGTTTGCAAGGATTATAAGGAGCGTAGTGTTGCAATATACAAGTGCTTAGATGTATCAAATAATACTGATCAATATTTATGTATCCAGTCAAATTAATTGGTCTCAAAATTCAGGACTGTTATTGTACTAAGTTGCGCAATAGGACGGAACCCAGTCAACAGGAAACGAGACTGTTGTGGAATCAATGTTTTGACTTGTGAGTGAATGAGTTTGGTTTTACGCCGCTTTTAGCAATATTACAGCAATATCACGGAAGGGGACACCAGAAATGGGCTTCACACATTGTACACATGTAGTTGTGCACGTGACAAACCTTGTTGATGTTTATTTATATTTTTTGACAGTATGTTTTGCGTATTTTGTTGAATTTTCCGGGGGTTTCATATTTTACTCTACTGTATTTTCCTTGTTTACTGTACTCGGAACAACTCAGCTCCGGGAGCAGTGAAGCTGCAGTGTGAATGTAAAAGGTTTGTGCATATTTGGTAGAAGCAGTACTGTGTATGCAAAATGTACTGGTGGAAGCAGTTTTCTGTGTCTAGATGTCTTCCTACGTTATAAATTAGGCTAAATATATCTCATCTCGAGATAATGGGTGACTTTTATGCCGCTTTTGCTAATATTCCAGCAATATCACGGCGGGGGGCACCAGAAATGGGCTTCACACATTGTACCCATGTGGGGAATCGAACCCAGGTCTTCAGCGTGACGAGTGAATGCTTTAACCTCTAGGCTACCCCACCGCCCCTCTAGATAATGCAACATGTTCGAAAGAAAGACCGCGCACGTGTGTGCAAGTGTGCGTGCGGGCGCCTGTGTGTGACAAGCGGAGAAATAAACAGCGCTTTTGCGCAGTAGGTGTCGAAATTTATCTGTAAATGGAGGTAATTTTCTTTAATTTGTTGTAAGTGATCAGTTACCTCGGCCCAAAAGTGAAAGCGGAAGTAAGTTATTTTTGCTGTAATAATCGGTATGGTTGTTGGTTTATTGAACAAAAACATGATTTGATTGCCAAACAGAGGAAATTAGGACGGCAAGACGCATTGCCGTGTTGTTGTTTTTGGTTATTAGTTGTTTGGGGTTGTTCTTGTTTTGTTTGGGGGTTTTCTGGGGTGGGTGGGCGGGGGTGGGGTTGGGGGTTGGGGGTTTAGCGTATAAACATTTTCTCGTTGGTATGAGAAATATCTCCCGCCCAGCTGGTCAGTATAAGCATATAGTACAGAGCAGTGTAAATATTGTCATTGTTCTCATGTAATTTCTAGGCTGTGCAATATTCGTAATTGCTATACACACATGATACATAGTAAAATACAGTTGAAATCAAGCAGGATTTGTCTTAGAGGGCGTACTCACCGGAGTTCTCGCTCACAGATACTGGTTGTCGTGTTTGTATATAGTATAGCGGTACGAGATTACTTCTGACAAAAGACTCTGAGACCCTTATCTCTCTCCGCTAGTGTGCATACAACTTTTTGTTCGCCTCAAAAACTTCCTGGTCACTATGAACACGAATCGGTACTTTCCTGGTCACGCGGCCTGTGACTCAAGCCAAAACGTCCTGGTCACGTGCACTATTGTCATCACTCGACAGGAAGGTAAGAGTTTGTCCTAGCAATAAATTTTCACATCAATAAACTATATAATGGTGATCTTAGCGAAACAATTTAATGTGAATCTCCTATGATTTCTTTGGTTTTGGTAATGAAAGCTTGTTGGGCTTGTTGTATCTCTCGTTCTATGTACTTTTTTTTCTCGTCTTCACTTATGGAAGATCTCTTGTTTCAATCTGTGATATTTTGCGAGTTCAGAGAGGACCAAACGAAATTCTTCCTCTGAGATTTTACTGTCAGTTAGTGCGGTGGAAATACGGTCGTCTATTGTGTTTAACTTTGCTTCGGCTAGAATTCTAATGGGGGGTGGGGTAGCCTAGTGGTTAAGGCGTTCGCTCGTCACGCCGAAGACCCGGGTTCGATTCCCACCATGGGTGTTCCCCGCCGTGATATTGCTGGAATATTGTTAAAAGCGGCGTAAAACCAAACTCACTCACTCACTCACTAGAATTCTAATTTCGTCGTGTTTCAATGCTTTACGATGTAATCTGCGGGGTGCAAACTTAAACACCAGTCCCACCAATCCTGACACCCCAGCTGTTATTTCAATGCCCAGCACTATGGGTGCGGCTTCGATAGTGGTCAAAAACCGCTGTCAATAAGTGCTTGGTACCATAAGTAATATGTTCATTAAGTAGTACATCTTATTTGTTAATACTTGTAAGATAGTCTGTCATACAGACCCTGAAGCAAATATATCCAAGAAAGCCCACGCAAGTCTAGAAAATGTGGCAAGTCTAGATTTCCACAGCTTCTGAAAATGAAGAAAGTCTCAGGGCTCCTTTTCATTATAATATATTATTAATTTTTTTTACTATGAACTTTTTTCAGTAAAATATGTTCATTTCAGAGACTAGTTGTTAGTCTAACTTGTAAGCATGCATCACTTCTTACGTTATATCCCATCAGAATTCCAACCTAGAAATGCAGCAGTCTATTTACTTTTATATGTAATATCAATGTTCAAACCTTGTACATATAGCTTCTTTGGAAATAACATATTGTTTAAATCAAATGGTTTGAAAAGAAGTACAAACATATGTAAATATGAATGGAAGGTTTAGCCTGGTGAGTCGCGCAGACTGGAATGTCAGTTACTGAAATTAAAAATATTCACCCAAACGCAACCGTCCACGTTAAAGTGGGACGAAACTAACGCATCTCGCCTCAAAGTTGTGTTTTGGCGCTACACTCCAGCGGATCGCAATTTTTTCAATCTAAGATATACTACTCATCAAAAGTTTAAACTCACTAGCGAAAATTAAGTAAAAATAAAGGTTAATGGTACCTGCGGCAAAGATTAATTATTTACAAAACCCTGCAAGATATCATTACACAGCCAACTAACATGAATTCGATATGGCTCATGCTTCCAGAAAACAAGGTCATTTCCGTAATTCTGCAACAATGCTACA